TGCGCGGAGGCCACACGGCCAGAGTGTTGCTCTTATCCTACTCCCCCACCGACCACTACTTCGCCCTGGCCACGCATCACATCACCTTCGATCGAGCCAGCACCGACATCTTCATGTCTGACCTTGCTCGAATCTACAAAGACAGAAGTGCATCTTTATCCCCTCCTCTCCAGTATCTGGACTACTCCAATCAGCTACATGAAATGCACTCGCCGGGCAAGTGCATAGATGCGATGAACTTCTGGCGCCGCGAGTTCGCCACAATTCCAGAGCCTCTTCCCCTCCATCGAAGCAGCCTCGTCGAGCGCCGCCCGCTCGAGAAATATAGCTCTCGCACGGGGCTGCCAGAATGTGAGTTCCGTCTTGACAGCCAGCTCACCACCCAAATCCGCCAAGTCGCGCGCAAGTATAGGTCTACCCCCTTCCACTTTCATCTGGCAGCGTTCAAAGTGCTGCTCTTGCGCTGGCTGGGGACGGAGGACGTTTGCATCGGCTTTGCCGACGGCTGTCGTCGGGATGAAACGATGTGGACTGGAATTGGCCCATTCTTGAACATGCTGCCCCTGCGCATGAAGGCACAGAGAGCGCAGTCCTTCGCGGACGCCATCGCTGAGGCACGGGAAAAGAGTCACGCGGCCCTCTCCAACGCGCTCCCTCTTGAGGTCATCCTGAACGAGCTCAAGGTGTCCAGACAGCCCACCCACTCCCCACTGGCCCAGGCATTTATCAATTACGCCGAGACCAGCGTCGAGAGTGGCCGGGAGTTCTTGGGCTGCGATTGTCGGATGATGAAGGAGGATCAGGCTGAGCTGCCCTACGATATTGCTTTCACAATCATTACCAACACAGCTCCCGGCGGTGACGCAGACACAAAGATCATTCTCAACGCTCAAACCTCTCTTTACAATGCTACAGTGGCCCGGATTCTTGCGACTGGCTACCAGGAAATTGTGCGGGACTTTGCGGGACGGCCAGAGAATCAAGTGAATGATAAATGGGAATTCACGCCGTCTTCTCTGTCAAGAGCAATCACAGTTGGCCACGGTAGGTCACCAGCACCTAGATACAAAGTTCTTGATAAAACTGACTGGATAGAAGGTCCTGATTTCAAGACTACTTGGGCGAACACGATAGTACACCGACTGGACGAGATACTCCCCTCCATCGGTCACCGGGTCGCCGTCACGGACGCCGTCAATACTCCAGTGACATACCAGGAGCTCTCAAGGCAGATTGACAGCATCGCCTCGGCACTGCTGCGAGAGGGCGTCACTGCGGGCTCTAAGGTCGCTATTTGCCAGCATCCCACTGTTTTTTGGGTTTCCTCTGTTCTGGCTGTCCTCAAGGTTGGCGCAGTCTATGTTCCCCTTGACGCGGCTACTCCACCTCCCCGTTTGGCTCTCATGGTTCAAGACTGCAAGCCTGTTGCTGTCTTGGTGGATGAATCTACTCGAGAGATGGTGAAGGACATGTCACCTGAGACGTCCCTGATTAGCGTATCCAGCGCCCTTGATACCGCAACCGAATTTCTTCCCACAACCGCGCTGGCCGATTCACCCGCCATGGTTCTTTATACCAGTGGCTCCACGGGAACCCCGAAGGGTGTAGTTCTCAGTCACGAGAGCCTGCGGCACGAGTTTGAGCACTGCCAAGCCATGTATGAGCTGAATGAGGAGGACGTCGTGCTACAGCAGAGCGCCTGGAGCTTCGACCTCTCTGTCACCCAGTTGTTCCTGGCAATCACAGTGGGTGCGCGGCTGCACGTCGCGTCCCATACTTTACGAGCTGATGGGCTTGCTATGGCGGCGCTCATCCGCGATGAGGGCGTGACTGCCACGTATGCCACCCCGACTGAGTACAAGACCTGGCTTCGTGATGCCAATGTGGATGTCCTTCGACGAACGTCTTGGAGACTAGCGCTGGTGGCCGGAGAGGCCGTCACCGTTCCGTTACTGAAGAGGTTTCAAAATCTAGACAGAGCAGACAGTCTTCGTCTCTTCAATGTGTACGGTCCGACAGAGACAACCTGTGGGTCGACCAAGCTGCAGCTTGATCATGCTCATCCGGAAAAATATGCCGACGCCGTGCCTGTGGGCCGCGCATCTGCAAACGAGTGCTTCTATATTCTCGACAGCAAGCAGAATCTACAGCCTCTCGGCTTAAGTGGGGAAGTTGTGATTGGCGGCGTCGGAGTTGCCAAGGGCTACCTGAACAACGCAGACCAGACGAAGGCGTCTTTTGTTCACGATCGATTTGCAACCCCTGAGTACACCCGGCGAGGCTGGACTACCATGTACCGTACCGGTGATGCCGGCTACTTGAAAGACGACGGAACTTTGATCCTAACAGGCCGCTTGAGCAGTGACACGGAGGTCAAGCTGAATGGAGTTCGAACTGATCTGAGAGACGTGGAGCAGACAATACTGAAAGCGGGCCAAGGTCAGTTTGCCGATGTGGCAGCATGTGTGCGCACCAATATGTCGATATCCGAGGATGGAGATCAAGTCGCATTGAAGTACATGGTCGCTTATTGTGTCCTGTCCTCTGAACGGGTGGTGAGTGAAAGCTCCAACCTAGGATCAATTCGACAAACCATCCTAGACAGCCTTCCTCTGTCACGCGCAATGCGGCCATCCGTTCTCATCCCCGTTGATGACCTTCCGAGAACGACAGCTGGAAAATTGGACAGGCGCGCTCTTGAAAATCTGGAAAATGCCCAAGCACGACTGGGTAGCGTTGGGGGTGCGACCACGACTACCTCGACATCGACACTCTCAGATGCCGAAGCTAGGCTTCTCAGGCTGTGGCAAAGCGTTCTGCCAGAGGAAGCCGTTCGGCTCGTCGACATCCGCGCCTCATCTGACTTCTTCAGCGTCGGTGGCTCGTCCATGCTGTTGGTACAACTGCAACACAGAATTACCGAAACATACCAGGTCTCTGTTACCCTGTTGGATCTGTTCAAAGCGAGTACCCTGAGTGACATGGCCCTTGTTCTCCAGCGCGCCTTGGGCCCGGAGACCAATGCCCCGGACGCTACATATGGAGCTCGGTCCCAATCCATTGATTGGGCGACAGAGACAGCGGTTCAACTAGGCGTGCTGATGAAAGACACGAAACTTCCATCTCCTCGAATGCCCCCTCGAGTAATTGTTCTGACTGGTGCAACCGGGTTTCTTGGTCAGCATCTGCTTCGCGGGCTTCTTGAGCAGGACCAGGTTGAAAAGGTCATATGCATCGCAAACAGAAATTTGACCGAGGAAAGAAAGAGAGGGCTTCTTTGCTCTCCACGGGTTGAGTGCTTGGACGGCGACCTGTGTGCTCACAACCTTGGGTTGAGCCCGGATGACGTGGATCGCATCTTTGGCACTGAAGCTGACGCTGTCATCCACAACGGGGCAGACGTATCCCATCTCAAGACATATGCTTCTCTGAGAGACCCCAACGTGAAATCGACCAAGGCGCTGGCTCTGTTATGCCTCCAAAGACATCTGCCTCTGCACTACGTCTCTACGACGGGAGTGACCATGTACACGACGTCAAGTACATTCCCAGAGATATCCGTTCGTGATTCACCGCCACCATGCGACGGCACATATGGATACATCTCTTCCAAATGGGCCAGCGAGGTGTATCTTGAGAACGTAAACTTGCGGTCCAAGCTCCCAGTCTACATCCACCGGCCATCCAGCGTGCTCCGGCCCGACCTGGGGGAGGAGACACCAGCCGCAGATGTTTTGCAGAACATGCTCACCTTCTCGCGACGGCTGTGTGCCGTGCCGATTGGGCCCCTTCTCAATGGATTCGTGGATCTTGTCCGCCCCGAGACTGTCACGGACAGGCTCTTAGGAGCGGTCATGGCTCCATCCCGAGGGGAGGATGTCGTTTACGTTCATGAGTCGGGCGATATGGAGCTGGAGATATCTCACATTTCGAGTTATCTGGAGAAAGAGGTGGGTATGCCTATCCAACAATTAGACTTGGATGAATGGGTCAAGAGAGCCGAGGAAATGGGGCTTTCAAGCGCCATGGCGGCCGTGTTCCGGGGGCTTGGAGCGGAAGACATGTTGAACTTCCCGAGATTGCTGAGGAGTGTTTGATTTTGGTACAGAGGATGTTGTATTGGCAGGATTCTTCCTTTCTGTCTCTATTTCTGTCTTTGCTCCTTTGTTGTATGTATGTACCTGTGATTGGATGTATATTGCTTTGTGTCTGGCTTACTTTCCGGGACTGCATTCTCTAGAAAATATACACCGTGAGCTGTAGCTGGACGGCAATTGCTTTTGGCAAATGCTACTGAGTTCCTGCTGTTTTGAGGCCTACACATCTTATAGTTGTAATGCTATTCGTAAATTTCACCAAGCTTTGTTTATGCACATCGATGAGAAGTACGTTTCCCACATTCATATGATCCCCTGAATTAGGGCGTTAAGAAACACTAGGGTCTTTCATGCTAATAGCCTTACACAAGTCGAGGACAAATCTTGGGCTCCCCGATGAGCACTTATTAAATAAATTATGTTTGTAGCTATGTAGTAATAATAGCAGTGAAGTTGATTGTTCATTTTTATGCTGAAAGCACCAAGCAGGTCACGTGGACTGCCATTCTCCGACAATTCTTGGACCAAAAAAAAAAAATTAAAATAAAGAAGACAGAGTAATATACTGTTTGCTGATGCCTACAAAAGCAATAATCCTCCAATATTATTGAATCAACAACTAAAACCGACTGGGAGCCACGACCCCGGAGGCCGTAGCGGATAGCGGGGACTCGGAAGGAAGCCGGTAGGATGGTCGGAGGGTTTAGATCGACATGAAGACGGAAGAACGCTCATCGCTATATTCGGAGGAATAGGGAATTATGATACTACCATCCACAGGTTGCCCGAGTAAGCACAAAGTGGACGGAGATGGGTTTGATCGTCGGGAGTGGTGATGCCGCTCCATAAAACTTAGACGCGACGCAGTCCACGGGGTAGCAAGCAAATCTCACCTTCATCACAATGAGCCCTTTTCTCCAAGAGACCATGGACTGCCTCGTCCAGTCCGATTCCGGACAAGCACAGACGGCAGTTCGTTCGCGGCCCGAAGTGAAGGCGCCCCACGACGTCATAGTCCATGTCTCCGCCGTGGCCCTGAACCCGACGGACTTCAAGTCCCCGGCGTCCAACCCCACCCCGGGGGCCATCATGGGTTGCGACTTTATGGGGTCTGTTGTATCCGCGGGCACGGCGGCAGATAACGAATTCCCCCCTGCCACGCGTGTTTGCGGATTCGTCCACGGCTCCAACCCCGGCAACCCAGAGACGGGATCTTTTGCCGAGTACCTGGTGACGGATTCTCGCCTGTTGATCCGAGTCCCCGATAGCTGGACCAATGTGGATGGAGCCGCCCTCGGAGGCGTTGGTTGGGGCACCGTTGCTCTTGCGATGGAGATCTCGCTGCAGCTCCCTGGGAGGCCGTCTAAGCCGGCGGCTCCACGAGATGACGGCTCCAGGACGCCCGTATTGGTTTACGGCGGGGCTACGGCCACTGGCACGATGGCTTGCCAGATTCTATCAATGTACGGATGGCATTTTCATTTTACCCGTCGGAAGACAGTGATTCTTGCTAATTTTACTCCCAGGTCCGGCTACCAGCCCGTTGCCACAGCGTCCAGCAGCAGCTCGACTCTGGTCCGGGACTATGGCGCTGTCGCAGTGGTACCGTACTCGTCGCCCACCTGTGGTGAAACTATCCGGGACGACCACACTGGTGGGGCCTTGCGACATGCGCTGGACTGCATCAGCTCGCCCGAGTCTGTGAAATGCTGCTTCACGGCCCTGGGCCGTATTGGCGCGCGCTATGCTGGCCTCGATTTCGTTCCCGACGATTGGAGAACGCGCAAGGCTATCAAGGTCCACATGCCTCTGACGTATGCCCTCCACGGCCACGAGATCAAATTTAAGGGTGCGTACCATCGGGATGCGGATCCAGCCATGTTGGAGCTGGGAGGTCGGTGGCGGGACGAGGTGCAGGGTCTGGTAGATGCGGGACGCCTTCGGCCGCACCCCGCTCGGGAGGTTAAGGGGAAGTGGAAGGGGATTGTTGACGGTCTGGAGATGATGAAGGCGGGAGAAGTCAGAGGCCAGAAGCTCGTAGTAGCGCTGGAGGGGGGAGCTTCTTCTTGAGATTTGAAACCATACAATTTCTATGTATCCTGGAGGATATCTGAATATAAAGTGGAAACGAAACAGTCATAGAAGCCGCGTTATTGATTGTAGTCTGATAACAGACTGTTCAAGAGGTCATGTTGTAACGGATTTGTTCGCTTGTGGGCCCGCACTTGAAGGATGTCTTTATTCAGCTTGCTAGTATCCTGGGATTGTCCCAGCTGAATTCAAAATCTTCAGGATTTTGCTTCCTTGACGGACTATCAGATTGCTAATTCGACTCAAGGACATGCCTACTGGGGCTTGGATGAACAGAACTCATTCCCTTATGGATAATTGCATCGCAGGCCACGAAAAACCCGGATCGATTGTCATCTAGACATTTTCCTTGCTATAGTCTCCAGATTCACCGAGCTACTACTTAATTTAGGGACTTCGGGACAATCTGAATGTCAAAGTCGGTGTCGTCATTGGCGCTCGACAGACTGTCCAACACGTCCATGAAGTCATTGAGTCCTCTCGGCCATCGCGTTGTCGCCGCCGCTTTGATCTGCTCGTCCATCGGCATGCTGTCCATCTTTGCCTCGGCGTTGAAGTAAGAAGGCGTGCAACCTGCCATGGGCGCGAGAGAGGCGGCGCCCGAGAGGACGCGGTGGGCCCACGACGCCTCGGCCTCAGAGGTAGGCTCTACAACGACGACGTGCTCAGTCGCTGATAGTCCGCGGTTTATCTTCTCGAGCCTCTTCAGGCTCTGGGATACTATAAAGGCCACGTGCTTAGACAAGGCGTCTAAGGTGGGTGTGAAGATGGAAGCGATCCCCGCCTGGTCGCTACTGGTGAAAAACATGTTGGGAAAATCCCTGCTGCACATCCCATGGAGCGTCAGGGATATCTGCCCGTCCTTAGTCCTTGGGTCTTTCCATTTCTCATCCATGGATTTGCCACCGCGGCCAAAGACCTGCGCTCCGCAGCGACGCGCCGGGCTGCCGAACGTGCCAGCCTCGAAGCCTGTAGAGAAGACAATGACGTCTAGCTGGTGAGTCGTTCCATTCGCCACGACTCCTGTTTCAGCAATCCGGTCGACACCTCGACCATCCGTATCGATCAGATACACGTTGGCTCTGTTGAACGCCTCCAGATACTCGTCGTGAAACGTGGGGCGTTTGCACCACCCCGGGTACCAGGCCTTGAGCTTTGAAGCAGTGCTTTTGTCCTTGACGATGTTGTCGACGCGCTCGCGGACCTTGTTAGACCGAGCCAGATCAAGCTTGTGCATCTCGGAGACGTGCTCGGCCGCCGTGTCCATGGTCACTTTCGTTGTTGCGGGACTTCCAGTGAGGACGCTGTAGGATGGAAAGCTGGTCCACGCATCCGATACCATGTCGACCGGCTCGCTTGGCTGGGCGTTAGCCCCGAACGACAGAAAGTTGCGACAACGTGTTTCTTGCCAGCCCGGACCTGTTTGTATGCTGGTCGTCCACTCGGCCTTGTCCGTCTGTCGCTGACCGCGCACGTCAACCGACGCCGGCGTTCTTTGGAACACGTATAGCTGGTCGCACCATTTTGCCAGCACCGGCACTAGCTGCACGGCAGTGGCTCCGGTCCCTACAATGCCAACTCTCTTGCCCCGTAGGCGGTCGAGGTGCTGACACGATGGGCTGCCTCCCGTCGCCGCGTAGTCCCACCTGGCTGCGAGGAAGTTCGATCCTTTGAAGTCCCCCAGCCCAGGTAGTAGAGGCAGCTTTGGTCTGTTGAGGAGCCCCGGGGATAATATGACAAAATCAGCGACGATGGTACCGCTCGTAGATGCACCGTGTGCGCACGGCAACCGCTGTGTCAGGTCTAGGCTCCATTCGGAACTGTCGTCATTCCAGGTGCATCGGTGCAGCTCCGCCCTGAACATCGCCCGTTCGTCGACCTTCCACTGCTTGGCGATTCGGTCTGCATGTTCTCGCAGCTCCTCTCCGTATGCGTACTTGTGCTTTGGCATGTAACCGGTCTCTTCCAGGAGCGGCATGTAGACGTAACTCTCAGTGTCGCACATGATGCCGGGGTAGCGATTCCAGTACCAAGTTCCTCCAAATCCGGCCGCAGTGTCAATGATCACTAGATCTTCGGGGGTCAAGCCCGCGTCCGAGTCAAGCAGTCGCGCAGCATACAATAGCCCTCCATATCCAGCGCCCATGATGGCTACCCGATATCGATTGCCGGATTGAAGGCGGATCGGCGATTCAACGTGCTCATCCCACGGATCATCCAAAAACCCTTTCAAACGGAGGTCATCGGTGGCGTTGAGGCTGACATATTGGTCAACCCCCTCGGACCGTAGACGTTTCGACCTCTCCTCGGCGTACTTTTGACGGACTCGTTCAGCTTCATCGTAGATGGGACGGTCGGCACTCGGGAGACTCTCGAGAGATGGAGCCATGATTGCGGATTCAGCTGTGACAGTTTTGGGTAGTAGCGCTCAATGGCTGGCTACTTGTGCGGTGATGGAGACGGGGAGCGACAATCACGAGTGGTTTATTTTTTTTTTCTTTTCAGTGTACTGGGGGCATCCAGACCCTTCGCAGCTTATTCGGACGCTTACTGCTCTGCATCGGAGAGATTGCCATTCACTGCATCGCTCTGTCGATCGGAAATCGGCTAGGGCTTACGGGCTCGGCATGCCGATGACCGTCGGCTATCGGAGGATTTCGTCGGAGGGTTTTTGACGGCGGTAGGAGGCTAGATCTCAAAGACAAGGAAGGAGAGCAGAATGTCGCTATCTAGTCGAGCTAGCCCGTTTGCTTTTGCAAGTTACAAGGCGAAATAAACTGCACAGTACGCCTACTCGGTTTGATTCACGTTTATCTCCCTAGCGACACCCATTGATAGCTCACTCAAGATGACAAAGGTACCAACGCAAGACCACCCACCCGCGGCGTACAGTGTCCAGGGAAAGGTCGCCATTGTGACGGGCGCTGGATCCGGCATCAGCCATGCCTTGACCAAAATCCTACTGCAGCAGGGTTGCTCGGTCGTCATGGCCGACCTCACTCTGCGACCGGAGGCAGAGCAGACACTAAAAGAGGCCGCCACCGTATCTGGAGTCAATGGAAGGGAGGCAGCCATATTCCAGAAGACCGACGTATCAGACTGGGCGCAGCTTCAGGCGCTGTTCGACAAGACGCTCGAGACATATGGCACCGTCAACATCGTGGTCAACGGCGCCGCCATCTACGAGCCGCCCTCCAGCACGTTCTGGCACCCCCCGGGTGTGTCTCCTGCCGCGAAAGACAAGGTGGACTGCTCCCCGGGCGTGTACCAGACCTATGCCACCAACGTCATGGGGCCCATTCGGCTGGCGCAGATTGCCCTCAACTACTGGTTCTACCACCCCGACGAGGAGATGAACTTTGACGGGAACTTGATCTGGCTGTCGAGCGTCTGCGGATATGTCCATCTGATGCAGTCCCCCCTGTACTTCAGTAGCAAGGCGGCCATGAACAGCATGGTCAAGTGTCTGGCCCCGCTGCGGAGGATGTTTGGCATCCGCAACGCTGCTGTTTGCCCGGGACCGGTCAAGGCGAGTTTCCGAGTTTGGCCCCTTTATGTATCTTTTTATTGTAGTGCTGACGGGTACATCTTATATAGACGCCAATCTTCGATGCTGATCACTGCAAGGGCCAGCTTCTGCCTACAGAGTGCGTTTGACTCCCTGGTCGTTTCACAAACGTTCCAAACTAATACTATACCCGCTGCAGCATCGGCCTTACCGCCGAACAAGCCGCCGAGCAAACATTCAAAGTCATGACCGAGCCACAGTTCGGCGATGGGAATATTGTCGAGGTTGTGGCTGCCCCGGAAGAATCGGCCGCAGAGCGCGTCACTGTGCGTGTGCGTGAGACTCCCCTCGAGGCACTCTACCCAGACCCTCCCCTGGAAGGCAACCACTTCATGGAGGAAGAACAAAAGTTTATTGAAATGCTGAAGACGCTGGTCTATGTCGGCTAGACCGGTATTTTTGATCTAGTGGTCACCAACGCTGCGAGACCTTGGTCAAGGCTGCGTGTCAGCATACAGCGGCGGTTGGATAGAATACTATCTAATCTCTGGATAATCACTCAATTGAGGAGCTGTCTTATCAGCTGTGATTCAAAGTAACTTCTTCAACATATCTATAGAGACGTCTTGGTGCATGCTTGGCATAATGGCCGTTGGCAGGTATTGATTGTTGAACAGAACCATAATTTTTCACTGCTGCTTGGTTAGCTATCATCCATACCGTTGGCGCTCTTCAAGGATATTTAGAAGCCTATGCTACAAGCGTAGAGGTGTAGTATCGATATTGTAGACTCGCGGGCGGCTGTTGGTATCCCCAGGGGCCTCTCGTCCCTATTTGCCTTCCGAAGATCTTCAATGCTACATAAGCCTCATCTCTTGGCTAGGTCTTGGGAAGTTGAGGGAAATAGTTGTAAAGTCAGGATAATATCCAACGGAATGTGCGATGGTTGGTGTGCCGCGTATCTGATTCTTCAAACCCAAAAAAAGTGAAAAAAGCACATCTTAATCCGGCTGCTCCTAGAGGCGCGTCGGGCCGGGTTCCTATACAGCCGGAAATAACCACCAAGCCTTGGTGTGGGGGTAATAGCAATATTCAGCTGCTTACTTTTCCCATATTCACTCGATGTCGACTGGGTTTCAGTGTCCCGGTGACGAAAAACGGTATAAGGGATTTCTGATACCCAGACACTAAAACCTGACGGCATCCCCACTGCGACCCTATAATTCGAATAAACCCCAGCACGCAACGGTGCTAACTGGGGGCATGTCAGACCGAGCTACGCCGTACTGTAGGTACATGCACCTATTATACTATCCATCACATCGCATAGCGCGGGGTTTCACCCTTTTTGTTTAGTGGTGGGTGGGTGCAATGGCCCCGCCATCTTATTTGATTAACGCCCAAATTGGAAAGTGGATGATTAAACGTGGTAGGGTTGTGCTGGGCGAGGTATTGCAATCGGGGCAGTGAACCTCCTTGCGTTTCTGCAGTCTGACTTGCAGACGTCCGGGGTGTATTCAGTAGCCGCCCTTGGTTCGTTTCGGCAGTCTGGATTCCACGAAAATCGGAGCGTCCAGAAGACTGCACGCCTGATCCACGATTGACGAGCCTCTTTCTTCCTTGGCGGCGGCTGATGTAGCATTCAAAGATATATGGGGGGATGGGGGGCCCGACGCCGTTAGCCCTAAGAAGGCACGAACATAAGGGGATTCAATAGCGGATCGAATCTGGCCCCGTTCTTGTATACGATAATGGCCCCTCCACATGCCACCGACACTGTTGTCATGACCAACAATGCCAAAAGATACGCGTGCGACCGCTGTAGGGACCTGAAGCTCCGGTGCCCGCGGAACTGTGAAGATGCACCCTGCGACCGCTGCCTGCGTGTGGATGCTCGCTGCGTCACGAGCAGCGGTCGACCGCTGGGTAGACCGTCAAATCACAGCGAGTCGCACGTCGACATGTGTCGCGCTAATCATCACACGCAATACAAACGGAAAAGGGCGGTCGGGGTGCCCAAGACTATGGTCGTTTCTGATGCTGCTGGAATACCACCCAATCGCGGCCCGGATAAATCGATCGACGCGCCCTACGTTCCCACTGACCTGGGTCCATCTCCGTTCAATGGCATGCTGGCCATGGAGCTGGACGGTATCCACGGGCCCTATGATCTCCCAGAACCGACCGCGGGTCTGACATATCCCAGTGGCCTGGGAAGCGGCTTCCCGGTGACGGGCTCTGGGGATTCGCTACATGTCGTCGACTCGCCCCCGTGGTGGGCCGCCGGTCGCGATTCCCCGGACAGGGTTTACACCGACAACAGTGACATCTCTCTCCGACGAAGCATCCCGGCTCTGGATGAGTTCTGCAATTATGACCTCGGACCTCCTGACATGGTGCCGAGCTTATGCAGGGAGCCGCCCGGCAGCGATGCCACATCGCCAGACATCGCCATGACGAATAGCAACCACAGACACAGCAACGACACGAGGTCAACGGCCGGGCGGCCCAACAGCGACTGGACGCCGCCCCTGATGAATGCGCTCGGGAGAATCTCACACCAGCTAGCCGAGCTAAGGGCCCAAGCATGCGACCTCTCCTCTCAGCCCGTCGGGGCCTGCACGTTTCAAGGCATCACGCCCAACCTGGAATTTCTCGACACCGAGCTTGGCGACGACACCTCTGACGCCTCGTCACTGCGGATCAGGCTTCTGGGGAAGGCAGTGGTCGCCACGATGAGATTCACCCTGGTGCTACAGATGATGGCGCCGTCGCCGGTGGACTGGGCCAGTTTTGTGGGCGACGACCACTCTTCTGGCTCGGCAGAAGACATTACCTCTCGTCCCATGTCCAGTCGCTCCTCGCCTGCTCCGGCATCCGCAGCCAACTCCTCATCGCAGGTCACCTTGATCACCCTGTCGACCTACCTGCAGCTAGGGGAGCTATTCGACATCATCTTGTCTCCGACTGTCCAATTCTTGGACAGTTTAGCAAATGCGACCCTAGGCCCCTGCGAGCCCACGGGGAAAACCGCGATGCTACCGACGCCACCGAATCTTTCGCAACGCGCGTCTGGAATGGGTGGCACGGAGGCCAGCTCGTCTGCGTCGGCTTCGGGGGTCGCCCGGCCGCGCAGCCAGGACATACTGATCACAATCCGTGTTGTCGAGCATCAGCTACATACCCTGGAGAAGGTCATTGGTCTCCCCGCGGAATATTGTATCGTGGGGCGCCAGGATATGCCGTCCAAGGACATGTGTGGCGGCGACGCGTCCGTCCTGGCCAAGGCTGTGATGCGGCAGGCGCTCGACACGTTGCGATCGCTTAAAAAAACCTTGGACTGCATTAAAACGGCGGTGCGGCGCCAGCGAGGCAGGCGGCTCGCTTAAGTAGGCCATCGCATTGTATTTACCAAGATCCACGTTAAAATATACATCAATACATCTAGTAGATAGAACACGGTCCGGGATCACTGCATACGAGTCTATAGCCGCGAACTACAATAGCATGACCATCCCCCGGCGACAAGGTAGGATCCGCAAGCTTGGATGAAACCGTTATAAAGCGTTATGGTAATCCAACTCCAACCCATATGTTCGGTACTTCCTGATGTATGTACATCGTGCTAGCTCGCGCACTAGAATCCTACGAAACAGAGTATGTCAACAACCGCGTCGGATTACGTGATATATCTTGATGTGATTATCTTGATTAATCTAAATGATTAATTTAAATGATTAATCTAAATCATCCTTCTCTGTTCTTCAACATCGGGTGGTTCGTGCTTACGGCTAAGATATGCATGTACTAATCGAGTAACAGAACAGGGATTGCAGCTTGCCTAACTACTGGGTTGTCGCTCCTGCTATGAATAATACCAAGCCAAAGGGAGCTTTGTATGGCACCATATCACGTCCATTGGTGGGAATCGATGTTTATGAACAGGCGTTGGGAGTTTCGCCCGACAAGGAACAAACTGTTGGGATATCAATCAGGTTAGGCCCTATACCAAAAGTTGGCCAACGTTTTGGCGTGGCGGTCATGACGAAGCCCCGGAATGGTCTCGTTCCTGACGAGTAGCTTTGACGGTAGTAGTGATAGGAGTAGGCATGATAGTAGTATTCGTATTCTTTCAGCAAACGCTTTCACAGTTGCTATGCTAGGAAATCTGTGCCCTTAAAAGCCCGCATCCTATCTATCCTATATACCTCAACGCCGAAATCAACGCCATACGAACAAAAGTGTAACGCCAATGATATGTCCACGTTCTCAGATTTTGACCCCGCCACATCCAAGCAAGGGATTCTCCCTAGAGGTCATATGTCAACAAGAAAAAAGTCAACAGAAATCAATTATGACGCGGTTTTCATGAATAGGGGGGTGTATCATGCATGGCTAGCCTTAGGCCGTCTATAACCATGTCCCCCGGTCATTCCAGAAACTCTGTATTCCGTTAAGCTGACCATTTTCCTATATCCCCACTTGCCATTGTTCAATTTGACTTTTTCGCTGAACCCTAGATCTGTCTCACTCGCAGGCGCCCTCTTGCTGACAAGATCCATGGCAAACCACGCCGCCAATGGGTCCGATCCCAATTGTTCAAAGCAGGTACCCTGGCTACTTCGATGCAATAGTACATAACTGCATGTAATATCTATTATATAATGCGCATGTACGGAGTACTGAAGGAGAAACTCCGCGAATCCCAGTCGTGATTTCCCCATCGTGATGACAGCCAGGCAGCTGAGTGGTGAAAGTCTACTCCCCCTCCACCTCAACTTCCCACAAGCGATGTAGTATTATAAGCAAGTCACGCTTATGTACTTTAGGAAAGTAGATTTTCTTCATGCAGGGTGTACGCCTCCGGAATCACCGATAGTGAGAGCAACGCGTTAGGGCAATTGCTTACAGTCTCACCATCCTCCCCAGGCAGCCTGCCTACTTTGCCCTCTCTTAATTGTCATTGGAGGCTAGTGTGGGGGCACCTAGACGTGCATTTGAGGGCCTAATCGTTTTTTATCTGGTCGTAGGAAATCGTGTTTATTAAACTTTCTCATTTCCACTAGATCTACCTAGCGTGAAGAAATCTTACCCCTCTACGTCGGGCATTATTGCCGGAAGCTCCAGCGGAAACCCTCGACGCTTTAGTTTTAGTTCATTCAACCGAGCAACCGCGGGGCCCTGACTCGTGGGAAAGTAGCCTTTGGTGTGTTTTTCTTTGAGTTGAACGGGTGATGTAGATCGATCTTGAGAGGAGTGTAGATACTGTACCTCTCTCTATTGATCTGAGAGGACACGCCGGTATTATGTGTTAGCATGTCTTATCTTGACCGTTTGACCAAAAACACCATTTGGCGAGTGGTAAGGTCTTGATATGCAGCATTATGTATACTATGTAGTGTCACTCGCAATCTATGAGCGGCCCGGCGTTCCCACCACCTCGCAGTGCTCGCCCTCACCCACTATATATCAACCTTACGAAGACGCACGAAACACTGCCGCGGCTTGTTCACCACTGCAAGGCACCCTGCGTAGCCAGACATTGCTTCGGGACACTTGAGAAACTCAAAATGCCAGATCATCATGATCAACATGATTCGAAACTCGACGTACGCAAGCCTCCGTCCGAAGCATGCCCTAACTCCCAGACCGAACGGGATGTTGGGCCCGGCATTGGCGTCAAACACCAAACTGGTGTCGTCGCTATCGTCCTGGCCTTTTGGCACCAGCCAGCGCCCCGGCCTGAACTGCGCGATATCCTCGTCCCCCCAGCACCGTGTCTGCCCGCGTTCCTTTGCCTCCAGCGAGCGCGGGCTCCGGCGGCTGTCGTCTACGTCCAGCGCCGGCAGGAGCATACTGTGGCTGTTGTGCAGGAAGAAGACGAGCGTGCCTTTGGGGATCCGGTGGCCCAGCAGCGTCGTGTCTCTGATCGCCTCGCGGTCCCCAATCGGCACGGTCCCGCCGCAGCGGAGGATCTCTTCCATAGTGGCGTCCAGCAGCGGCACCGACGTCTGCATGATCTCCTCGACCGTCGGGGCGCGCTTCTCCGCCACCGCCGAACCAAACGCCGCGAAGAGATCCCGCCGCAGTTGCGACTGGGAGTCGGCGTGATCAGCCAGCAGCTTGACGCCCCAGCACAGCGTCGTGCTCATAGTGTCATGACCCGCGACGATAAACCCAAACACCTCCTCCATGACCGCCGCCGAGAAGAAATCGGGCTTCCGCCCTTCCCTCCGCGCCTGGCTTTCCTCCTTGTCCACGATGCGGTCAACCGCGGATCGCTCCCACGCGAGACCCTCGCTGGACCGCTGGTGCTGCCCGCGTGCCTCGACGGCCTTTTCAATCTCCCGCCGGATACAGGCGTCCTTGATGCGGGCCCAGCGCTTGAATGTCGGCGTCGCCTTGACGTACCACCACTTCATGCGCGGCGACGGTGCGCTCTTGACCTGCTCCATGGCGTCGCCTAGCTCGAGCATCGACTCGATAGCCTCGTCGATTTTCGCGTGCGGGAAGTGCACCGCCTCGTCTGCGTCTGCCGCGTCTTCATCCGAACGGAGTTCGCTCGCCAGCAGGTCCTTGAGCCGGTTTGTCTGCGGGTCCGTGGCGTTTTGCGGGAATGTGGGCCCGAAGGAAAAGGCTAGGACGGCGTCTAAGGCCGAGTAGAAGATATCCTCGGTGGCAGAGAATGGCCGGCCGGCCGCCAGCCTCTCCTTGACGCTCCAGAGCTCCACGAAGCGTCGGCTGCTGGCGTAGATGCTGGGGGCGGCCACTTTGCTGAGGAAGGCTGGCGTCATGGTGTCCTGGACGAGGCGGCGGTGGAATTTCCACTCTGGGCCGGTCTTGAGCGTGAACTGCTGCCGGTTGAGCAGCCCGCCGAATGTCTCTGCCGTTAGGCTGGTGCGGTCAAAGTCCTTGATGCGGTTGACCATCACGTCTCGGGCTTCCTCGTAGTCGCTGACTAGTAGGATGGGTTTGCCCATCGGCCGGATGAAGATCTGGCTGATGACCGACTTCGACTTGAGGTTCTGGTCGCGCAGCCAAGACACGATATCGCCCGTCTTGGTGACCTCTTTCATCATGTCTGGGATATCTCCCAAGAGTCTGTGGCTGGAGGCCGCATTGTATGGGATGTCGGGAAGCGGACTCGGTAAGGCTGTCCAATAGCCCAGGTAGAGTAAAGCTAACAGAAGGAGGACGATGGCCGTAGCCGTGGCTGTAGACATTCTGGCGGTGTTGGATTTCTTTTTTTCTTCTCTCCTCCCCTATCGATGTGTGTTTGTGTGTGGAAATGTATAATCTGTACTCACGTACACAGCGCCTGCATCTGGTCGTGGATGTGAAGCTGCGGCTTTGTTAAGAGATGGCAGTATTCTCAGTCTCCACAAGGAATGACCGTAGGAGACAAGAAGCTCGCATCAACATGCCATGCTACTGCAGGTATAGCACCGCAGGTGCGGAGAGTTATCTTCGGGAGTTTAGACACAAACCCTCCGACACTCCGAGGCTCCGAGTCCATGAGGTCTCGCCCAATTTGTCGACAGATGTGTAGACGCTGCCGATCAGGTATTCCACAATATTTTGAATCTAGGGCCAGTGAGACTTTTCAGTTATGTAGAGTCGTATAGTGTTTGAAACGTATATGGCATTGAGTTTTTATCTATAGCTACTAACAAATTAGGCTGAATTATGCATATATAGATCTATTTGATCACGGCTTCACTCCTACGCTTTCATCTAAACCGTGGGGTGCCTTTCCGTAAAGAAGAAGTATTGATTGCCTCGCTGATTCGTATAATACATTAACTCTTATCATCCTGCGCAATGAAGCGGCTCTGCTGCTCTGAGTAGGCGCGTTTCCAGACCTCGACCTCCCCCCCCCCGTAGAGGACGCCCACGCGCATGGTAGAGAGCAAATTATGAGCGGCGTTGGAATGCTGGTAGACCCCGCCGTTGAAGGTGGCGGTCGCGTCCTTGCCGATCGCCGAGGAGATGAACGCCTTGCCCCCCGGATGCTCGTTGATAAAGGAGGCCACGTCGTATACCACCCCAGCGATGGCCACCAGGGCTCTCCCGTCGCCCGTGGCCGACTGGATTTTGAAGTCATCCCACGTTATCACGGGCAACTGGGACAGCGGCGTGCCCCAGTCCAGCTTGGAGCGCTGGACATCAAGCTTTTTCTGCTCCTGCTGCAGTCTGCCCTTTTCGATTTCATTCTGTCGGAACTCCTTCAGCTCGGAGGCCAGCCCTAGCTTCTTCCACGTCCAGATCGCCCACTTGGTCGGATCGTACTGCCACCACTCGATCGCGTTGCGGTAGTCGGACGGGAACTCGTGGTGGAAATTGTGGTAGCCCTCGCCGAGTGTCACCAGGGCGGTGATGACATGGTCGCGTGGCGAATTCCGATCGTCGAAGGGCTGATCGCCCAGCCAGTGCGCCAGGGAGTTCACGCAGAAGGTCGCCTGCTGCACGAAAGTGGCTCGGACGATGCCCGCGTAGATGAAGCCGCCCATCCAATCACCCCAACCGATCCCGCACACCAGCGTCGGAAAGACGAGACCCATGAACAGGACCGCCTTGATGTAGTGTCGATGCTGGAAGATGACGATCGGGTCCTCGTTGAGGTCGGTGATATCGGCCCGGCCGATTTTCTTGGGGTTCTGCTTCATCACCATCCAGCCGAGATGGGAATACCAGAAGCCTTTGCGCACGGAATAGGGGTCCTTTTCGGTATCGGTGTAACGGTGGTGGGCGCGATGGCCCCTGGACCACCATCGGATGGAGCCTTGGACGGCCCCGACGCCGACCGCTGCCAAATAGATCCTGAGGGGGGTCGACGCTCGGTAGGAACAATGGGCCCAGAGACGATGGTATCCTGTAGTGTATTTAGAGTCAGCCTTCCTCTCGCCGATCGTCGATCATCGAGATCGGGGTGGACCCACCCGCTGTAATGCCCAACCCAGTATTAAAGTAGTACACAATGGCGAAGATGGCGGTGGCACGTTGCAGAGGGTGAAAAGAAGCCGCGACGAAGCCCATAAGCGGGACAATGAGTATGAAGAAGACGCTCAGCCAGTCGACAAACTGGTACCAGTTCGTCCATTTTAAGGGCGTCTCTGTGATGTGCGGCGGTTTCGTGTTGGAAAACGACTTGGATCTTCGTCTGCTGCGTGTCCCAGACTCAGGATGCGTGGACGCCATGTTGTGTGTGTGTGTATGTATGTGTGTGTGTGTGTCTAAGAGATGTTCTTTGTTGAGGGTTTGGACGTAGATGTGGTCAAGGTAGGATGATTATATCGATTCTTCTCTCTGCCAACGTTGACATCGAACATGGCCTGAGGAGGAGAGAATTGCTTGAGCACATGGAAATATCATGATCAAAAAGAAAAAAACCCGCAATTGCGAGGTGCATATTTGGTTGAGTCTGGCATTGTTGACCTGTTTTGTTGGGAATGTCCCCCTGCATGGATATCAATAGTCAGCCGATTGGACGGGCATATTCCCAACAGCCACACATCACGTTCGTGCTGACGTTGCATCGGAATATTGAATTAATTACAGTATGATGTCAAGACCTAGCTTAACACATGTGTCGGTTACAAGAAGTGAAAATCCAAGTGATCTTTAATCTTGGGAATTTGCCAATATAATTACCCTGTCCCCATGTGCTCCGTACCTAGCCCTGTTGTCTCTACAGTATAGACCTTGGCACCAACGAGAGCTCCCGTAGGATCTGAGCTTGCTGTATTCCGTATAACACAAATGTATATTTAGATCCATCCGAGGCTCAAGAAATATTAGCTCAATCATCCTTGAATTCCTTTTTCGCAAGACCGCCACACCAAACCGTTGACCAACGCTTGGTGTGGAGCTTAACCTGACTAATATCCCAAAACGGTTCAGATCCTGATGTGTCCAAATAGCAAGTGGCAGGATACAATTCTGTTGAAAAGACACACATACACATTCGAAGTCGAGAAAAGCCACAGCACAGCAAACAACAAACCCAGTATCAACTAACCCACAGTACCAGTCACCAAACTATGCACCTTCATCTCATCCGCATCCGACAGCCCAATCATCATATCCCGCGTGACGTGAATACTTTCCGGCGTGGTATTATAAATCTCCAAATCAAAGCGACGGATCAAGGTCGCAAACACTTGGTATAATTCGGCATAGGCCAAGCTACGCACGTCAGTCAGCGTTGGTCTACCACTCCACAGGAGACGCGATGCAGCTTACTTCAGGCCGACACAGATCCGAGGTCCCTTTGTGAAAGGGACGAGATATCTGTTGAGGCGCTCCCCTTTGTCGGTGGCTTCGATCCAGCGCTCGGGTCGGAATGTTTCGGGGCTGGGGAAGACTGTTGGGTCCATGTGGACGAAGTAGATGGCTTGGCTGACAGAGGTCTGGGACTGTTAGCGTCTTGTGTGTAGATGGGTGGTAGGGCACGGTACGTACCCTTGGGGGAATGGTGTAGTCCTTGTATTGGAGGGCGGTTGGTAACACTCTCGGCAGTCGGACTGTTACACTGTGTGAGACGCGAAATGACTCGTTGATTACTGCCGTCTGTGGTTTGTTAGTGCCGTGGATGTGTTCACTGCCTTGGGGGAGAACGTACCAGGTAAGGTAGTTTCTCTAGTTGAGCCAAGGAAACCCTGTCTGTCGGCTGGGGCATGACTTGCTTGATTTCATCCCGGAGTTTCTGCAGGATCAATGGATCGCGGTAGATGTGGAAGAAACCAATAGTCAATACTCGTGCCGTGGTCTCTGTCCCTGCGGCGAGAATAACTAGTGCTTCGTCTCGTATCCTGTCGACAGTCCGTTCTTCGGCCGGCAATGACGGGTCGCAGAGCGTATCGAAGATGGTCTTCACCTTTCCCGTGCCCTTGCTCGTCTCGCCCTTCCAAGTATCGAGGATCGTCCCCTCCACCGAGCGTTTGATATCGAAGAACCCCTTGGTTCTCGGATTGATCCACTCTACAAATCGCGGAACGGTCGTAGACAAAAATCCAACGAGGGACGAAAAGCGCGCGAGGTGGGCGAAGCTAGTCGCGGCGGTCAAGGCGTCCCGGAAGTCATTCCGTAAGTCCTTTGTGTCGAGGATACCGATGCTCTCCCCGAAGGTATACTTGGAGATGACATCGGCCGTGAGCCCTGCAAACAGCGCGTCCAGGGACACCACGGTGCGGTTCGCTTGGGCTTTTGTAAGGTGCTGGCCCACTTGGTCTACTTTGTCCTGCACGAGGTGCTCCAGACCCAGGACGGAACGCTTCGAGAAGAAAGGGTTGATAAGCTCCCGGCGGCGTCTGTGCAGCTCATGGTGAACCGTCGCGGCACTTGACAGTGGAACGGAGAGGGATCGGACATGATAGGGATCCTTGTCCTGTATTCTCGAGATGTAGATTTGGTCGTAATAGTCCGGATCTTTGATGTGAATTTCCCGGGGATTGATTCGCACGATGGGGCCTACTCTTCAGGTGAGAAAAGGGCATGCATGTTATGGGTCAAACTTGGTCTCACCATATTGCTCATGCATTCGCTCGATTTCGAACAAGAACTTCCCGCTCCGGACCACATTGTAATAGAACTCATAGAAACTTGTAACGGCCGCGAGTCTCGGCCCTGGGAATTTGCGAAGGGGATGAAAGTAGAGACGATAGATGCTTTGAAGCAAAACATAGCCAACGGCGGCAGCACACCCGAGCCACAGTATGTGCGTGTCCATGATGTCGCACGACTGGTCGCCAACACAGTCGAGAGATTCAATTCGTCAGCGGTCGAGAACTTTGACAAAATAACTCAAATAACTCAATTGCGAGCCGCAGGGCCCTTTTAACCCTGGTATGGTGCGGGGTTTTGACGACCAAGGATAAGGCCTCCGTCGAGTGGTGTTAGAAACGTGCTAATGCAATGTCTCCAACCCTCCTTCTCGGCAAAACACACGAATCCTCGCTAGCCTGTGGAATTGGCCTATTGTGAGCGAATGCGCCTTGCGTGGTGAAGTCGATACTTGTTGTGCATCATGGGTGGCAGAATGTCAGCACACAATGCATTAACGGACACACCAAGTCCATCTAGCCCATGGTAGTTACCGGACGAAAACTACCCCATGATATACGAGACACCAGCAGGGATGCTGCGTGATGAGCAGAATGGCCCAAGAGTGCTTGCGTCTCCCATGCTATCGAATCGGTCTCCCATTATCAGAGATGAGAAACTGGCCGGTTGTCGGAACATCGGTGTCCATGGCTAGAAAGTGCTTCGGCCCGTTGCGGAAGGCTGACCTTTTAAAACCCTCCGATTCACTATAGCAGATGCTTACACATAGAGATGCCAGTTCGCAAGGCTGGCCTTTGCAGGTCTTCAAAGTCTCAGCGCTTTGGGCAACACAACCCGTCAATTTCATTCGCTGGCTGCACTGCGAGGGTGGAACATCGGAGCCCTTCTTTGTCAGAAAGTCGACCTCGACAGCGGACAGTCCTAGCGGATTTAGCCGGGCCTTGAATAATGACTGACGACATTTCCAATCAACAGAAGGGGGGGAAGGAACTTGGGGAAGTTATTGTTATCTCATGGAGGGGAAGTAATTTCCCGAACTGCTAGATGATTTACTGATTCTTCAGTTCTTCGTCGCGACGATCAAATCCTGTTTCCTATGCAGAGGGGTCAACGAAGGTACAATATGACTTAATCATAAGATTGATCAGACCCATCCTCCTAGAAGTGATCTATTCATCTGTCTCTGTTGGTCTTCTGGCATATGGAGGTCGCGTCAGGCATCCACAGTGATATGGCGGGGTACACGTGACTGAGCAAGCCCCACCATACAATACATTACCGTATAATACGGGGCTACATGGCAAACATCCCACATCCTCGGTACCGTCACGAAATAGGTGCCTGGCCCCGTTTAGTTTCCATGGGCGGCGGTGAATTGGACACATGTACTCCAGACACCCAAATGATCCTGCATCAACTCTGGCTCAACCATCATTCATTTCAATAGTCCAAACCCCGGTCGAGAGCAGGTTCCACCCAGGTTCTCCTTCAAGAAACAGATCTATACTAGACAGGGTCCAAGATGTCTTCCAGTGACCGCCTTCAGCGCCACCTGGCCTACCAGCCGCAACCCCTCAAATTTGGCACCAGCGGCCGCCGCGGTCTAGTGGTCGATCTAACCCAACTGGAAATCTACATCAATGTCTCTGCGGAGATCCAATACCTGCAGTCTCTGCCGCCGAGCGAGGGAGGAATCCTGCTCGGGGATGACTTCTACTTTGCGCACGATCTGCGGCCGAGCTCGACCCAGTATGTCGAGAACAGCCGTGGGGGCCTCTGCCAGGCGGTGGAGCAGGCCTTGAAGGACGGCGGCATGCGCGCAATCAACCTGGGCGCCATCCCCACGCCCGCCTTGACTGCGTTTGCCCTCCAGCGGGGCAAGGGCAGCATCATGGTCACGGGAAGTCACATCCCGTTTGACCGGAACGGGTATAAGCTCAATACCTCCAAGGGCGAGCTGTCCAAGAAGGACGAGCAGCCGATCAACGTCGCCGTGGAGAAGACCCGGGAACGACTACTGGCGCAGCCATTCGCGGAGTCGCTCTTCGATGAGCAGGGCATGTTGCGCAACCGACCACTCGACATCCTCCCGGCGACCGACGAGGGCCGCATCGCCTACATCCGGCGCTACCTGGAATTCTTCGAGGGGCAAACCCTCCAGGGGACGAGAATCCTCGCCTACCAGCACTCGGCCGTCGGGCGGGATGTTCTCGTCGAAATCTTCGAGAAGCTCGGCGCCCAGGTCACCCCCGCCGGCCGCAGCGACACGTTCGTCCCGATCGACACCGAAGCGATCGACCAGGCCCAGCTCGACACCGTCCAGGGTCTCTGCGACGCGACCGGCCAGAAGTTCGACGCAGTGGTCTCCACAGATGGCGATAGCGATCGTCCGCTCCTTGTCGCCCCCGATGGAGACAACCTGCGCTTCTTTGGCGGCGATCTCCTCGGCATGGTCGTCGCGGGGTACCTCAGCGCTGATGCCGTCGTCGTGCCCATCAGCTCCAACGACGCCATCGACCGGGGCTCCCTGGCGTCTGTCACCGAACCCAAGACGAAGATCGGCAGCCCCTACGTGATCAGCGGCATGCAGCATGCACTCTCCAAGGGCGGTCGTCGCGTCTGCGGATGGGAAGCCAACGGCGGCTTTCTCACCGGCTCCGACATCCAAGTCGACGGCAAGACACTGACCGCGCTACCCACGCGCGACGCCATGCTGCCTCTCCTCTGTGTGCTGTTTGCCGCCCGCCAGCGCCAGCTCACCCTTCCCGCCCTGTTCGCGACGCTCCCGGCCCGCTACAGCCGCGCCTCCCTGATCCGCAACTTCCCCCGCCCCACCAGCATGAAGATCGTGCAGCGCTTCTCCCCGCCGACGACCGAAATCCAGGAAATCGCCTACGAGAGCAACGGCACCATCACCGCCTACGACAGCGAGCGATCCGCGCGCAGCGTGACGGCACCCGACGCCGCACAGCTCGGCCAGATCCGCGAACAGTTGCAGACCGTCTTCTCCGCCCAGCATGGCTTTGCGGCCATCGCCCGGCTGAACTACACCGACGGCGTCCGCATGTGTTTTGCCAACGGCGACGTCGCTCACATTCGACCGTCCGGCAATGCTGACGAGCTCCGGATCTATGCCGTGGCGGATGCCCAGGCCCGCGCTGATGAGATTGTCCTTCAGGGCGTTGCGGAGCCCAGCGGTCTCCTTCGCCAGCTGGAGGCGATGGTGTCGCATTGAGGTTTGAACATTACATATAGTGCTGGTCACGAAATTACATAAGTGCGTATAAATCATATAAATACGATGTGTTGACATCGAGTTGATTCAATGACGTTCCAGCATGGAGATATCCCGTCTCCTGTGACCGTGTACATCATGTGGTCCTCTCTGTTCTGCAACGGATATAGCAAGAATCGTGGAGTGGCAGTTTCTAGCCTATCGATATTATTATTCTATATTTATTAAAATTATTATCATTGGAAAATCGTCCTCCACCGGCCAAGAGATTAAGAGGAAACACGTGACAGGTGCAAAATACTCCACCCAGACCAATGAGAGCTGCCGATCTTATCGGCATGGCCGGCACATCAGTCGGGAGGAAAGTCCGGGGTAAACTCCGTCGATCAAGTCTATTCAATCTCCTCTTGGGGACGGTTCACTCTTCCGATCCTTTATGGACTGTATAAACCATGATATCGGATCATATCCGGGTCGGCAAGGTAAGGCAGACAGGGGTGGAATGTTGTTCCCTGGGCAGGTACAGTCCGTGGAAGAATGTCTGGAGAAATCTTACCCGTGGGTAAGTCTTCACCCGCCCCATCATGGGGCGCTTACTTCATCCGTCCGAAGCAGCTCATTGCGCCATTGCTCGCCATCTCCACCGGCACGTCGCATCACCAGACTGCCCATCCTGCCAAACTACCCGATGGATTTGCCGTGACCGTCCTGACGGGCGTTGGAACGCTGTCGGTCAAGACTATATCTATCTCCCCCTTCCCCTCCCTGTATCATCCGTCCTCAACCCAAGTCCATCATCTCACCCCAGATTCACATCATGTCTTCACAACCGCAAACCAACTCTCAGCATTCCTCCGCCAAAATGTCAAACCGCCAGTTCGACCCCAACTTCACTCCCTACGTGGTCAACTCTATGGGCCCCAAGACCCCCGAGCGGGCTCGCGTCATCCTCGGCTCGCTCATTAGACATATTCACGATTTTGCGCGCGAGGTCGAGCTCACCTCTGCCGAGTGGATGATGGGCGTCGAGTTCATCAACTCCATCGGTGCGATCAGCACGCCCATCCGCAACGAGGGACACCGTATCTGTGACGTGATTGGTCTGGAGTCGTACGTTCCCCATCACTAGAGAAAACAGAAACAAAACAAGGAAAAGCAAAAACTAACTAATCGAATAGGCTGGTCGACGAAATCGCCAACAAAATCGTCACCGAAGACGGCGTCTCCCCCACCTCAAACGTCATCCTCGGCCCCTTCTGGTCCCCCAACGCCCCCTTCCGCGCCCTCGGCGACAGCATCATTCAGAACGAGAACCCCGATGGCCGCGTGACCTACATGCACGGCGTCCTGCGCGACATGGAGACCGGCGCGCCCATCGAAGGCGCCGTCCTCGACATCTGGCAAGCCTCCGCCAACGGCCAATACGACTTCCAGGACCCGAACCAGACGGAGAACAACCTGCGCGGGAAGTTCCGCTCGAACGCCCAGGGCGAGTTCAACTGGTACTGCTACCACCCCACGCCGTACTCGCTGCCGACGGATGGTCCCGCCGGTGTGCTTCTGAACCTTATGGATCGCTCTCCGTTCCGTCCTGCGCATATCCACCTCATGATCACCCACCCCGACTACGCTACCGTTATCAACCAGATCTACCCCTCTGATGATCCCCACCTGGCCATCGACTCCGTCTTCGCTGTCAAGGACGACCTCGTCGTTGACTTCAAGCCCAAGTCGGGAGACCCCAAGGCGTCGCTCGACCTCGAGTATAACGTCAGTATGGCGCTTAAGAAGCATCACCCGAACCCGAATGCGGCGCCGCCGGCTTCGTCGTTTGAGCGCTTCAATAAGGCCGAGAAGGAGAAGCAGTCTCGCTCGCAGCTGTGATCCTTTTTTGCCTCTTTCTGTATACGATATGTACATAGTTCAATACCAGATATGATTTACGTTTTACTCTTTGTTTAGTATGCATAAAGATGGTGACCGGATACTGGGTGTAGATGCACTGTTCTCGAATCATATTGCAGGCAAAGGCAATGTCTAACTAAAAAAAAAATTAAGATGACCGGTAATAACCACAGCCCGTCAGACAAAAATCGTTATTCTCGATCTATCAATATCAGTTCATCATAATACAACCTTTTCATTAGCCCACACCCAGCATGATCCACCGATAGTCCCCGTCGAATCATCTTCCAGCATTAAACGCCCGCTGGCAGGAGGATGCGAGCAGTGACGAGTTCCTGTTGGTAGGAATGGCTCTTATCCGGGTATATCAGACTTGTATGGGTAAGTTTGGGAAGGAATGGAACATGTTCTACAATGAGGTTAATATCCTACCCGGGAGGATTATATCAGGGCTGTCATTGGAGAAGATTGTAGGGTTTGTTTGGGTCGCGGTGTGGATTTGTGCGCTCAGCCCTTCGTTGGTGTATCCGCCGTTGCGGGCGCTGGAACATAAAGCTAGTTTTTTTGCTTCAATAGGGTGGGTTGTATATGAGGCCAGTCTTGGTTTGTTGGAAGGGGTAGTGTTTAAAATAGCACGGCTTACTGCCGATGGGAGAGTGGATTTAGTCAAGGATTGTCCTTCTCCATTTCTCGGTTTACCCTGGGTCTTGAATGTCCTTGGTATAAGTATGATCCAAGTAAGAATTATACTATATATGTCGTCCGTGAATCGAGTAAAGAAACGGGGGCGCCTGGAGACAGCAGCATTTACACCCTACTTCACATAGAAAAACATTCATCTCTCCAAATACAACTGGCTGATTACTAGCATTAGACTCTGTAATTACCATATGGCCTCATACTCATCTCCAGATAGAAAGCAAACAACCAAACCACCACCACCAATATCAACACCAATACCGATACCATTATCAATCAGTATCAATCTCCAATGTAACACCAAAACACCAATAACCTAAACTATTACCCAATTGATCTCCCCCATCCGCAATCAAATCTGAACCATGCCCATCAACAAAGCACCCACAACAGCTCCCATGGAAATCTCAAACGACCCTACCGCACCGGCTTCCATAGTAGGAACAGCAGATGTACTACTAGATGAGGGAGTCCCGCTTTGAGTCTGCGATCCAGGAACAGGAATTAGAGGTTTGCTCGAGGTGGAGCTCGCTGGGGGGGTTTCCACGGGGATGGTGCTGGGGCTGGCATGGGGTGTATGCGGCGGAGGGGTATGGGTAGGGGTAGGATGACGGGACGGAGTATGCGTGGAAGTGGGGAAGGGAACTGGACTGCTTTGGTTTGCGCCTGAGGAGCTGGGAGCGGCGGAACTTGGTTTCGCGGAGGAGGGAGTGGCGGGGATGTGTGTTTCTGAGCTGGGAACTTCTGAACTAGGCACGACGGGGATGGGCACAACCGGGCCGGGTGTTTCAGCGGGAGGAGCTGAGCTGGGAGATTCAGGAGTGGGAGTTTCAGTGGGAGCTTCAGAGCTAGGAGCCGGTGTGGCTTCAGAACCAGGGGTCTCAGAGCCGGGGACAGGGGCCGGAGCTTCGGTTGTGGGGGCTTCAGTGGGCGTAGGGCTAGCCTCAGACACGGGAGATTCAGTACTGGGATCCTCAGCACCAGGAGTAGGGCTGGGGATATCCGAAGCAGGGGCATCGGAACCAGACTCCTGAGCAACAGGCTCTTTGGAAACCGCTCCAGGAACACCAGCCCCGTCCGTGCCATTCAACGGCTCAATACTTCCATACGACCCCGTCATATCACCCCACGCGTACCACTCCGCAGGGTAATAATTGACGACATTCACAGACTCCAGATACATGGTGAACGGAGCATCGTTGTAGTCCGTCTCGCCGCCGGCCCAGGAGATGGTTCCCGGGGCGTTGCTGGGATCGCCGCCGGCCCAGATGCCGATGCGGATACGCATGGGCGTCTGCGGGTAGTTCTGCCCGCCGAGGGCGTCGTGGTAGCCGAGGGTGCGCACCACCGTGCCGTCTAGGATCCACTCGATCTGGGTCGGGGTCCAGTTGACGGTGTAGGTGTGGAAGGTCTCTTCTGGGGCGGAGACGGCGACGGTGGTGGCGCGGTCGTAGGAGGTGGTGTTGCCTTTGCCGAAGTAGTTGGTTTGAATTTGGTTGTCGAATGTGCTTACTTGTTCCTTTGTGGTGTTAGTTAAGTATTAAGTAGGGGATATAGGTAAGGTTAAATACCCAGTCGATTTCGTCGAGGTCGTCAGACTCCAGCACGGTAGTGCTGATGATGCCCGTGCCGTTGGCGGCGCGCAACTTGACTTCCACAGAGCCAAAAAAGATGTAAAAGTCTGTTTCAATGGTCGGTGCGTCGCCTTGCTCGTTGATCACGAAGGCGGCGCCCATTGGGGTGCTGGTCACCGATCCGGCTGCGGTGTCCCAGCGCTCGAAGGCATCGGGGCCGCTGGTGAAGTCGGTGAAGTGAGTGTAGGTCGCGAGACCTGGGTTAGGAGGGCAGTTTTCTACACAATTATTAGCTTTCGAATTCCGAGTAGGTATACAAGGGAATGACTGACCTTCCGTGGGGTTGCACTCGGTGTAGGTCTGCGCATTGGCGAGCTGGGCTCCCAGAGCCAGGGCCGCAGCCCAGTACATTTTCGACGGCATCATGTCTGAAAGAGGGGAATGTTGATGAGCGGGAAGGAAAAGGCAGTGGGAATTGTTCTTTATAAGGGACAGGAGGCAAAAGTGTAGAGACTTACATGGCTCAGTGAGTGAAACAGGGAGACCGTACCATGGTAGCGGCGGGCTGTGCATTGTCTCGTTGGTCTTCCCACACCTCATTCACTGGCTCATGGTCAAGGAAGCCAGGAACTTGAACTCTAGTCCTAAGTGACTGGCTGTGATACTAGGGAGTGCCATTAAGAAGCTTCACTGATTACGTCCGAGTAATACCTGAGAGAATCTTCTCCCAACTCTCTTTTGTTGAGCCAGTTGGTGAGCACTATGTATGTGGTCATGATGACGAGCATGCCCGCTGTAGTTGATTCAGACAGCAAATATCTATTCTCTATACACTTTCCGACAGCTCCCGTTATAGAAAACGAGGAACTATTTATTGAAGGATGATCTGGGGATGATAAGAGGTTAGGGCTAGAGAGTCACGTTTACCTAAACCATCACGATGTAAATCACTGACTCTGAGACAGGACCCACATCGCTTTGTCTTCTTCCATCCTGTTCTATTTTTTCTTTTCCTTCTTACTTTCGGGAAATCCCTGGAACCAGAGAATCATGCACGGTGAATGGTCAGAAGTGCGATTTAAGTGGGGATTCTATTTATCACCCAATTGCTCTGGCCTATCTCTTTTTCTCATATAATCCTATCAATGAACTAAGTGCGCGTTATTATGTATGATTGTTCACTGCAAAGTATATTCCTTCTTTTCAGTATAAGAGCACTTGAATGCGTGAATGTAATCCTCTTTAATCTATCTTAGGTCTTGTTACCAGTTAATATGCATATTTAATACATGGAAGTACTAGCAAGTATTCAGGATATATATCACTGTCAGGGTGATACCCTCGACATGCAAAGGGGCTGCGTAGCCAACTGCATTTTCACGGGCAGATCTGGTCTATAACATAGTCCCTGGGAGCTAAGGTGCGTGAGCGGATACCGTTGATGTTAATACGTGTTGTGTGCTTGAGGTCGAGGATTTCTCTTCCGTGCTTGCGTATGGTTCGAGAATATTTATCTCAGTGCATGGCTGGTCATTATGCAACAGTATCCTTGTTCATCAAATTTGACACTGCATACTCCCATTCTACAAGAAGCACGTACGTCGAGATCTACACTTGGTCGGGGAGAAGCTAGAAATATATCGTTTCTCTAGTGTGACATGATGTTATATATCCAGTAGCTCCAGTCCTCCGGAGCATTCCACATATCATACACCCAAGAACCCCAACACCTTCTCAACCAAGAATTGCCTCGGCTTCGCCTGATCATCATTACTCAACGCATGCGACGCATTCGGAATCAGACCACTGTGCTCATGATCCCAAATGGGCGGTCCATCACCATCCGTCGCCCGCCTCCACCTCGCCAACAGCGCCTCCTTATCCACCCACTCCGGCACCGACTGGTCCGCCCCCGACATCAACACCATCAGCCCACCCTCCAGCAATCCCCTCTCCCTCACCATCCCAAAAGTCCCCTTCAGCACCGCATCTCCAATATCCGAACTAAACATATCATCCTCCCTCGGCGCAGCCGGACTCTCAGGACTAACGAGGCTCAAGAACCGCCGCCCGCTCACAGCCGTCAGCCCAGGGTAAATCATACTCGTCAGCTCCAGCGGGAGAACAAAATCCTCCCCACCCACACCACGCGCCTTCTCCGCCTCGCGCGCCAAGCTCACCATCTTCTCATAAACCCGCCGACACTCCTCCGCTGACCGATCCCCAATGCCCCCCGCCAGAACGCACTGCATCGCCTCGCGATCAGACACAGCCGCTTGCATAATGGCCCCGTCCACAGCGGGGCGCACCACATTGACCAGGTAGGGGTCGAACGCCGGCGCGGGCGCCGCGTGCGGATTCTCCCGAGACAGGTAGTGCAGCACGCACTGGCTGCCTGTGGAGTGGCCCATGAGGACGATCTTCCCCGCGCTGCTGGATGGTAGTAGGTCGCGCTTGTAAGACTGGATGTACTGCACGCACTGCGCGATCTCGGTGGTGTCACGGTCGAGGTGGCCGAGGCCCCAGCCTTGGTAGGAGGATGTTACATTAAGGGTGAAGAGGGACCAGCTTGTTGGGGCGAGGGCCCGGACGAGGTCTGCTGTGTAGGAGGTTGTGGCGAGGCCGTCGCCGAGGCCGCCGATGAAGAGGAGGCTGTTGGGTTTGGGGGTGGGCGTGGTTGTGTATTCGAAGGTGACGAGGGTTTCGGTCTGGTTTTGGCGTGCGTTAGCTTGAGGGGGTTTCTCCTAGAGGTGAAATTGATGAGGAAGGACTAACATAGTGGTGTAGGAGGCCGGGCAGGCCGCCTTTGGGCCAGAATTTGGAAGCCATTGTGTCTGGAATGGAGTGAGATGGGAATGTGGGAGGGTGGATGGGATCCGGGTCAGTGAGTAGGCACGCAGTGGAAGTACACTCAGGGTGAAAAATGAAGGAGAGCATTCTATGCTCTCCGAGACCGGCTAATTCGAGAAGTTGATCGTTCGAGATTCATCAGCCTCGGAGATTGATTAGATGTGATTAATATTAATATAATGAAACTGGCTGTGTCGTTCAATCACGGTAATACGCACCAAGGAATATACCGGCGTAATGGATACAGTGTAATACCCGGTAATACAACCGCTAAGCGAAGCTCCCTAGCGGATCAGATAAGTCGGTTTGGCCCGCTTTATCAGATTAGATGTCTCGCCTAGCTGTGGGCCGTTTAAGACGGCTCGGGACATTTACCTGCGAATGGCACGCGCTGAAGCGTGTGGATCTAAGAGGAAATTTCAGTCAGTTTTACTCATAGCTACTGGTCGGGATTGTAGGAAAACATAAGAAAAATTAAGAAAAAACAAGCAAAACAGTTAGATCCAGCAGACGTCATTAAACCAAAACTAGAAAGGCGACCAATGAGGATACTTAAA